CCCCCCCCCCCCCCGCCAAAGATAAGATGAGGTAGTAGGAAGCATCTAAGGATGGTACTAGATCAGGAAGCAGCCTCACCTGTTTTCTATTTTGTAAATGGGTGTTATTTGATTATTAGTGTCTACCAGAGCAGCTATTTCATGAATAGACAAGCCTAGGAGTAACTATTTATGAGAAAATCCACTATATGCTCTCAAAGGATCAAGGTGGCCACCAGCTTAGAAAAGTTGTCTCACTGGGAGCCATCAGATGCCATTGGCAAGCCTGTGAATTATTGACACAATAATAAAAAACCAGAAAGAAATTAAAAAGGAAAAACCTACCATTACAGGATGGTAAAGGGCAACATCTTCCAGAGTTAAAGGCATAGCAGTAATGTCCTGCTGGCCAACAGCAGATGATTTCTGATCTTCAACCCTGTCAGGCAAACAAACAAAATAACCGGAAAACAATAGCATTATTAGTAATTATATCTTCAATTATCATCCATTTATCATGGTGTCATGGTATAAATTAACTGTGATAGACACACTGAGATTTTGTGTTCTAGAGATCCTGTTTTTACATAATAAGCTGCTTATATACTCAAAAAGCTAAAATCAATCAGCAAACAGTAATGGATATTGAAGTCAACAAAATATAAACTTTAGAATTTCCAGCTGAGGGGAAATAACAACTATTAGGCTCTGTCTTACTGATAGTTTTGCATCTTATTTGAAGTTTTCATTAGAGCATGAAAGTAAAAAACATTTTAAAAATTAGGTAATTTTATTCAGCTTCATAAACAAATCACTACTATGTGAAATCCAGCATCTTCATCAATGATGATTCTCTTAAAACAATACAGATGGATGAATACTGCTTCGCATTAAGCCTTACAAACGGAGTATAATTCTATAAAAGGATTACTGTACTGAATTTTGCCTCTACCAAATTTTATACTGGAGAATGAGGAGCACATCCACTTGGTCCACTAACAGATGTGGCCAGTCATCAGCCTTAAAGACAAAAATACTTACGCATCAACATGCTTCTCTTGCTTCAACATTTTCTTTTCTTTTGGAATTCTGAGCACTTTGGGAGAGTTTTTCTGATGTATTTCTTGCTGCTTTGCACGAATTAAACATGGAATTGTGTTTTCTTCTATTATCCTTTTATTGCATTTCACTCCAGAATGTTTTCGAGAATTTGGAAACAAATACTCCATCTTAAAATAATTAAAACAAAGGTTATTTCCCCAAAAAATCATTTTGAAACAATTCCAGCTTATTAAAAGTGAACTTGAATATTTAACACAGTTCTGCTTAGTATATTTGATACATATTTTAATTGTGGGTCCCGCTGTAGCAATTTTATGGGAAATATTTGTGTTTTGATTTTCTTTGTCAATGAGTTTATGCAATGCGCAAAACAAAAAGTAAATGAATGCTAGCTTTTTACTGCTCGTTTTTACTGCTCATTTTTTATTACTCATCCAAAAGACATCATCCATAGGAAGATGTAAAAAAGACCCAAAACCATGAAAAAGTATAATATACAAAAACCAGGTAAAGTAGGTTTTAAAACCCATAACAATAAGTAAATCATACTGGTCATATTCCTGCAAGAAATGTTACATTTGCAGAAAAATGAAGTTTTAGGGAGGCTTCTATGGGTACCTAGTTTATTTATTGTTGCTGGTACTATGTTCCAGGCATTTTTCTAGATCTCTTTCAAAACTCACATACTGCAAGTCATCATTTTTACCCTTGAACAAAACTTTCAAAATGTGATGGGTACTGAAATACAAACTATAGTTGTCTGCTATCCTGGAATAATTGATCACATTGCCATGATTGGAAAATATACATGTAGCCTTGAATTTAAAATATCATGACTTCCAGAAAGCATGGCCAATGACAAAGAATTGTGTAGTCAAGACCATCTGGTGGGAGCTCTAGCTTGACTTCCATTAGAAATCAGCATCCTTATCTTCCTCTTAGCATATAAACAAGGGTAAGCATTTGAACATTCAAAACTAAATTCTGGATTTGAAGCATCTCAATTATTAAACTGTCATTTTATTGTTGTGTATAATTTTCTAAACCATACCGTTACATTTAATTTAACATTAAAAACGGTTCCACAATAAAAAAAAAACATAATCCAGGAGCACGTACAGTTATGATAATCTACAGCATGCTTATGGGAAACATCTTCTCATGTAAAACTTAACACAGAGAGAACAGGATTGATACTAACCAGATCATGGACACTTTGCTCTGTCCTGACATCTGAAAACTGGCCATTTTGCTTTAGAAGCCTGTTCCAACAGTAACCAAAAACAAAACAAATTGAGAAGCAGCTTGCACCTCTTTAAAGGATCAGAGACTTGCTAACTTGCTTCAGTAGCAATTCTTCCAGGATAATAAGGACACCAAAGATTGCTGTTGGTACATTTGAGATTGGCAAAGAATCTCAGTGCTAGCAGTAGAAGGCACTTCTATACATTTTCTTAAATAGCTCTTTGGCACCATCTTTTGTATTAAAGAATCCTGAAAACATAACTAATGCAATGCAAAAAAAAAAAAAGCTTTAACATTTCATTTCACTTTTTTTTTTAAGAATTCTGATTAGGTTCTTGATACTCCAAAGGGGGTAAATTTCATCTAAAACTAATGTATTACAAATGAAACAAATCAGAAGCATTATTATTCTAGCACTGTTACAATGCTGTTTATAATTAATTTATAATCCATTCTTATTTTAAGGCACTACTCATTCTCCCCATTATGAAATATTTTCTTGTCCTGGAAAGATATTTCAAACTGCCCTTTTCAAGTCCTGAAGACATGATATTAAATATAGCTGGCATGATTAAATCAATACGTCATATAATTCTTCCTTCAGGTTCATGCAAGGAAAGCCAAAAACTATAAAATGAGACCCTTCATAGCTATACTAATGAATAAATGTAGAATAGGTCAAATTATAATATGGCATATAATGTACAGAAAACAACTGTAACTTAATACTACCACCCGATAACATTTTTATTCATTTCAAAGACTACGGTGCTTTTCTAAGCATGATTTTGGTATGTGTTTCACATCTTTTTTTAAAAAACAGAATTAAATACATTAATACAGTCAAATCCATTATTTTCTCCCACTCTCCAAAAGGATAAAAGCCTCAGCATACAAATGTTTCATTTCATAGTCTTGCAATTCAGCTTTATTAAATTTGTTAGGGCTAATTTGTAGGCTTCTGCATCTTCATTTATCACAGCCACTATCTGCTGAACATGATGAGACCCACATTTTGTGGGCATGACAAGACACAGTGTTCCTCCCGCTAATTTTGAAAGTGCAGAGATGTACTTCAGCAATCGGGTTATAGTGATCTTCTCGCTGGTTCCAAGGTGGGGCAAAAACCTGATGTTACTTGACCAACTCTCACTGGGAAACCTTTTAGACCAGGTCTAACCAGATGGGGTCCCAATGAATGCAAAACTCATTTAAGATATTTAAGTACTTAAACATTATTATGTGCCATCAGGTTGGTGTTGACTCTTAGTGACAATTTTCTCCAAGATGACCTGTCCACATCGCGGTCCTTCAGGTCTTCCAATGGTGCACCCATGGCGACTATAATTGAGTCCACCCACCTTGATGCTGCTCATTGTCTTTTTCTTTTCCTTCCACCTGTTCCAGCATAAGATACCTATTTTTCTTCAAACCTTCAGCTACACTGTTAAAACACTTTGCATATCAGATTGCAAAAGTCAGCAATGAATTTTTATATTAAACAGAGCAAAGTGAACTTAGTGTTTCTCTAATTTTTATAATGCTGCTTATTATAACTCACCTCTTGGATAGTGCTGTGTTAATAAGGGAAAAGTAATACAAATGATGCAAGCAGTGAAGATGCATTTCATGTTTCCTTCTTTTATGCGATTCCTTCTGTCAATTAAAAAAAAAGTCAGATTTATGCTTATCTGCCTGTTTGTTTCTGGAACCCTGGCTTTATCTTAATGCCACTTATTAGAAGGAAGACAGGGTACTAAGAAGACACTAATATAGAGAATTTCAAAGTGTTCGTATTCACCTTATTGTCCTGCTGACTGCTCAAGACCCCCACACACATACAATTTAGACCTTTTTGCACAATCACTGGGCATTCATATGAAAGCATTCCAATCCAGTTTCTGTTGGAACACATCCAATGAATAAAAGTCCCTGACTATTCCCTGTGTACCTGATACCACTGTAACACTTACTGTTTGGAAGCTCTTTCTAACATTCAACTGGCATCTGCCTTCCTGTAACCAAGTCCTGCACTCTAGAACCAAAGACAGTAAGTTTAACCTTCTTCTAGGTGACATCCTTTCAGTTTCTAACTCTCACATTCCTACCAGCACCAGTCACCTTTTCCAAAGACTAAACATTTCTAGTTCTGTCAGACTCTCTCCACAAGACTTGGTTTCTGATCCCCTGATTATTTTCATTACCCTTCTCTAAAACTGTTCCAATTTCTATGAATCTTTCTTCAAGTGTGGTGCCCATAACTGTACTAAAAAATTGGGGCCTGACCAGAGAAGAATAAAGTAGAATGATTACTTCCTATGATTTAGAAATTATAGTTCTGTTGATGCAATCAAAAATACATTTCAGCACATAATACTGCTAGCTCATCATCAATTTGTAATCAGCTACTGTTCCAAGATCTTTTTCACAACTACTATTACCAAGCCAGGTATTTACCCATCTTACATCTGTGCATTCAATATTATTTTTTCTAAATGAAGAAAAATGCATATGTCCATATTCAATTTCATCCTCTTACTTTCAGTCCATTTCTTTAACCGGTATATTTTAAATTTTATTTTCATGTTCTAGCACGATCAAATTAAGCAATGACTAGTTCAATAACTAATAACTAATAACTAATTTGAGAGAGTTTTTTTGTATACATTAAATATATAAGAGTTTGTATGGATTATAGTATCTCAATATATTGCTTAAAGTATATCAATACTTTCATGAGTCCAGTTGAACTCTTACTTCAGATGTAGATTAGCTGGATACCCAGAAGGAAGCCAACTTTGGCTGCCATGTGCACTGAGAGAGTAATAAAGTATTGGCCCTCCTTACAGTATTATAAGGAATACAATATAAATGTGTGATGTAATGAATATTCTAAAGTAGTGTTTCAAATACATGTTTTCCTTTTTTCCCATTTTTTTTCAATATTCTAACATAAAAAGCTATGACAACACTGTTTGAAGCATATTTAGTGTATCAATGACCTACTAATAAATGATGGTTTAAGTAAATACTAATCAAAATAGATCACCTTTTAGAATTCCCCCTAATATTTCATTTCATCCCACAGCAAACACATCCTTATGTAACTCTTATTAGGCTATTTCACATTAATATTGATCAGAAGGTTCATAAAGACGGGCATGTTATATATTCCATTAAGCTAAGCAACAGAGGAAAATGCTTAATCTGGTCCCAGCACCTTCCAAGTTCTGTTCTGTCCTTGTTAAGTACATGGTCATGTTATTACCATACAATTTAATGAAGAAAAAATGGCCAGACCATCTGATAAAACTTTAAATAAAGAAAAATAAATGCAATTTGCTGTTGTCTCTAAAGTCATTAATAAACTTAGCATAAAAATACATTATGGCTGATTCATCCAGACCCTGTAAAATTATCAATTTGAACAAAATTGTGAGCATGCTTTCATAACAAATATGATAGTGGATTCTTACTTTTGTGGTAGCAGATTTATCTGCTTTTCCTGTTCTATGTAAAAAAGTGCTGATTTGAAAAAAGCTTTAAAAAATCCATTAAAAAGATTTCAAAAGACCTGAAAAAGGTGGCCAATGTAAGCCAAGGTTTACAGCCCTAACAGGGAGATAACCAACAATCTCACTCTGGTCTGCATAATTGATTGGGAAGCTTGATTGCACCCTTCTGCAGCCCAGGGCCCTGGAGTAAAATGCAAGTGGGAAATGGCATTTTGAAATAAAGGCAATGTTGACACAGACCTGGAGCCAGCCTCTGTATGATTAAGGATACCTTCCTAAAACCACCTTTCTCCAAAATGCAGTGACCCTTGGCCTTCTTTACAAGCAGAGCTTTATTTTGACTTTAGGCAAGAGCTCAATAGTATCAATTGTTGCATCCCGTTTTCATCAGTCCTGAAAGACCCCAACTAAAGGTAGGTTTAAGGATGGTTGCAGGACACTATTTTGGGCTCTTCTTAGCAAAGTTTTAATGGTACTATGCCCAGCTCAAAGATGGGGCATCTTAGAGGGAGCAGCTAGTTTGAAAAAGCAGTTAAGCCCCAAGAGCTTCAGATAAGAGAGTGAAACCTACCCCTCCCCTTGACTTTGTAGTTCCCTAATCACCTTAAGTAAAGAAGACTTGTGAATCCCTGTGGCAGGGAGGAGCTGATGGCACAGTAGCCTAGCCCCATTGTGCAGACGCCTTCTACCAAGCCTTCATTACAGAATTATCATAATAAAAGGCAGTACTTCCCTTTCAGCTCTCAGCTTGATCTTGAATCTTCAGAAATTCTTCTTCATACCGTAACACTTCAGATTCTCTCCCGGTGAAGAATAAAAATAAGTAATCCCACCGTCCCCCGCCCGTACACATGCATACACACACACATAGCCACTTCCATCCCACAGTTCCAATTTGGGGATAGAAGGATGGGGGTGGGAGGATGCAAACCTGGTGAAGAGCAGCTGAAGAACACACCACCTGCTGAGATTTCAATGGCTCACAATGCTTTTTCTGCACATCAGAAAGCAGGAACTGCAGAAGGGGAGGGGGAGAGATTTTAAAGATTCCTATGAAATTTCAATAAACCTTAAGACAGGTTATTCTCTGTAACATATAAATATAGCTATGGACTCTATTAGCATTACTTTATTACAGTATAAAAACTCATCACATGGCACAATAATGATCAAAGGAATAAAAACCACTGCCCAGTGATACATGTTCTGGCCTTCTACAGCATTTAATACAACTTTATGGTTTGATAACTCCACACTAGACTTTTTTCTGGTGTTGAAGGGCTGGCATTACTTATTTTTGCAGAAATGAAAATGGGCATTTACAGTAAACAACAAATTTCATGCTTTATTTGTTGAATATTTTCATAGTGAACATTTTATAAACCTTATTTATTTGAATGTTTTTTGTGTTCCAAAGTGGAAATGGAAAATATTCAGACCATTGACTCAGGAGGACAAACATCACATTATACTAATTGGTGGTTTTTATGAGTACAGTACTTAATTCCATCACTTTAATTTGGAAGACAAAACAGATGCAGAGTCCTGATCTAGAATCAGGCCCCTAGTCCAGACCGTAGCCTTGCATCACCAGCTACAATTGGCCCTTAAAAACTCAGTTTGTAGGACATAATACATTGATCTAAATCAGCCTTCTCCAATCAGGCACCTTCTAGACATGTTGGGCTACAGCTCCCAGAATTACCACACAAATTACAGAAGATCAACAAACACACAAATTGCTGAATATTACGCTTTCTTTTTAGGGATACAGGTAGTCCTCGGTTAACAATGGTAATTGGGACTAAAACTTCTGTCACTAAGCAATGTGGTCATAAAGTGCGATGTCACATGACCACATTGCTTAGCGATGACAATCCTAACAGTCCCCATTACGGTTGTTAGGCAAATCCCACCTGGTCATTAGGCAAGGACCCGCCCTCATCCAGGCTGCTCCCAGCTTGGTCCCTTCCAGCCCCAAGCCTCAATAAACCTTGGTAAAACTAAGACTGCCTCTTGAACTTCCCCCACCCACCTATCTCCCCCCGCCATCTTTGCCCTTTTGGCTGCCCTGCACCATGGTATTCCTTGGCACCCAGATAGTAATCACGAGACCGCAGGGGTGCTGGGATGGCCGCAAGTTGGGGGACCCATCATAAGTACCACTGGTTTAGCACTGTCGCAACTTTGAAAGGTCACTGAACAAGTGGTCAGTAAGTGTGGGCTACTTGTTGTACACTTCTAGGAGGAAGAAGATGGCGAAGGTCAGCTGGGGGCAGCAGGGCCAGCAGAGTGCCGGGCAGCTAAGGTTAGGGCTAGGGCTTGGCGCTGGGGCTTCGCACCATGGGGGTGGGGCAACTGTGGCTTTGCACTGGGGCGCTGGCAGGCTGGCTTGAGGCAGCACTTCTCAGTGGCAATGGCGACACCAGCAGTGCTGGGGCTGAAGTAGAGGCCTGGGGGCAGTGGTGGCAGCCGGCTGGGACTGCTGAAGGCCCCAGGCCTCTATTTCAATGAAATGATAAACTTAAGAACAATTCCTCATTTTTGTTTTTGCAAGAATGATAGAGAAGACGATTGCACAACACATCAAAGCAACAGACACACACACACAGACACACACACACACTACTATATATATATATAGTATATATATATATACTATATATATATATATATAATACTAATAAATATACTTTAACTTACCCTACCTACTACCTA